TTCGTTGCAAAAAGCAACGAATTTCCTGATTTTCAAAATTCTCCTTCCATGATTCACTTCTAATTGCATAAGATGTTGTACTCCTTTCTTCATTTTGTAATTCTCTTGCAAAAGATGAACAACATGTTCATATGACTCATCCTTATTTCCTAAGGAAGAGTGTCCAAGGTGAATCTTGATATCACTATAATAACAAATGCATAGAATTTTCCTCCAAGACTAGAAGGAGAAATTAGGACAAAATCATCAAGGTGTACATTCTAAAAGGTTTTAAAGAAGTAGAAACCATGCCCTTAGATTTGGCAAAGATGTTCTGGTTTGTTTTGCCCATCGACAAGCAATCACAAATGTGCATCTTTTTCAAATTTCAACTTTGGCAAAACCTCAAACCAAATCTTTCTTAGAATAGTTTTTAGGAATTAAGGTGCATCGCTTGCATGTCAAGTCTTCTATGCCATAACCAACTAGAAATTATTCAATAGAAACTAAGGCATATGTCTAAGGTTTGCATATTCAGAGAGATCTACTTAGGTAACTATATTCTCAACCTCTTTTCCAACAAATAAAGTTTTGTTATCATGCATGTTCTGAACTTCCCACAATAAAGAGGGTTCAAAGATCCACTCTTCTATTTTCAACATCACAAATCTGACTATACACTTAACAAGTTTATAATGTAATCCCTTATACTAAGCATACATCTTTTATCTGAAGGATTAAGAACCTACCACCACCAATGCCAAAGATTTTACCTTTCACTTTGTCTCCAAAGCTTACTGTACTGCCTTTTTCTTTCTAATTTTTGGTGAATTTCTTTCTATCACCAATCATATGCCTAGACTAAGCGTTGTCCATGTACCACATTTCTGTTTGCAGCTCACTTCCTTAGGCACATGGGTGACCTAAAAAGGATCAAGCAGAATTTAGGTACCCAACTCATTATTGGGTCCTGGATGGTTTAGTGGTAACAGTGCATTAGCTTACTATGACTTTTTTCTTTCCTGTTGAGACTGTCAGATTTCTGATGTTCTAAAGTTGCAACATTAGAACGAGCATTTTTCTTATTTGAAACATGATTTTTGTTTTAGAATGCCATCATAGCAGAATATGTCTTTTCTTTAGAAATGATTTTGGAAATTGATATTTAGAATCCGATCTAAGTTTTAAAGATTCAATTTTCAGAATTCAGATTCTTACATTTTTTCAAAGTGGTTTTCAGATTTTCAGAAAATGATTTTCATTACAATCTTTAAGATCTTTGATCTCTATGATAAGATCTTTACATGTAACTTCTTAATAAAAAGCATCTTTCAAATATTACATTTAGGTTTTTAATTTTTGAAATGCCTTCTTTAGAAACTTTATGCTTTCTAACAAGTTTTTCAAATTCATTGCAAGGTTATGGTTATTATAAGCATCTAAAAGATCATTTTCAGATTCAGGTTCAGAAATACTTACATTGCTTTCTTCACGCTTTTGGACTGTTGCATCTATTTCATTGTTTTCAACTTTCTGTGTTGAAGTCAGAGTGCTGATTTCCTTGGAGTCAAAATTGATAGTAGCCATTAGACAAATATTTGCAGCACTTTGGCTTTTAGAATCAGAATCATCTGTATCACTCCAAGCGGCTACGAATGCCTGTTTCAACTTTTCTTTCTTTGACTTCTTTTTCAATTTAGGATAGTTGGGCTTGATATGGCTGGGTTTGTTGCCATAACAAACCACTTCATTAAGGTTTGCTTTCTTAAGGTAAGTTTTGCCTATTTTTAGGTGAAAGTTCTTTTTGATTAAAACTTTTTCTGGCCTTGAAACACTCTTTCTATAGAACTTTTTGAATCTTTTAAGCAAACAAGTGCTAAAGCATCACTATCAAAGATCTGAAGAACTTTCTTCACTACAAACTACTTTCAAAGCAAAGCCAATCCTTTCTTTTTCTTATCTTCTACAGTCAAAGAAGATTTCATCTCTTCTGAAACAAGAGTTCCTATCAGATAATCATAAGTAACGAGAGTCTCTTTGTAATTTATAACAGTTCCTACAGAATCCCATTTTTAGGTAGAATTCTAAGGATTTTCTTAACAAGCTCATCGTCTGAAATTTCTTTTTCGAGATTTCTCAAGGGATTAACTATATTAGCAAATCTAGAATTTAATTCAGCAATATTTTCTCCCTCTTTCATACTAAACATTTCATATTCTCTCCAAAGGATATTAATTCTGGATTCTTTCACTGTATCTGTACCCTCAGAGGTAACTCTAAGTTTTTCCCAGACTTCCGTTGCAGACTTGCATCCAGACACTTTGTTGTATTCTGATGGATCTAATGCACAGTGAAGAATGTTAATAGCTTTTGCGTTTATAGAAATATCATTTTAGTCAGCTTCAATATATTCTTCTTCTGATTTTCTCACTCCATCATTTTCTACAATTTTCATAGGAATGCGAGGACTAGTAATGACATTCCTCCAGCAGTTTATATCAACTGATTTTATGAAATTTTCCATTCTGATTTAAATAAGAAGTAATTAGAACCATTGAACAAGGACGGTCTAAAAACAGATTGACCTCTAAAGAAGTTAAGAGGAAGTGGTCGTTTGCCATGGGATCTTATCTCTTAAGCTATAAGCTTTGCGTAAGTCAAGCATTGGTAAGTCAAGAGACAAAGCTCTGATACCAGATTGTGGGTCCCGAATATGTATGGCACAACCCAAGAGGGGGGTGAATTGAGTTTTTTAAAAATAAAAATTTAACTTTAAAAACAAAGTCAAAATTCTAAATCATCGGAAAAGTAATGCACTTGTGAGAATAAGTTTTTAATTAGAACTTCCTTACAATGCCCTTATGCAGAGAATAAACAGACTTTGCAAAGTACATTTATTGATTAGAACTGCTTCGCAATATCTTATGCAATATTGAAACTACTTTATGAAGGAAAGCTATTATGTTTAAAATTGCCTCATAAAGTTTAGATAAATGTAAAAGACTATGTGACAGATAATTATTGAAATCTGAACTGCTTCATAAAGCTACAATCAAGATTAGAAAACTGATTAGAAACCCAAGTAGTGAAATATACTGAAAATAAAAGAACGATTTAGAACTTGGTATATTCACTGAGCAGAAGTCCACAGTTCTAATGTTCAGAAAAGATAAAGCTTATTCTAGTTTAGAACATCTATTTAGAAACATCAAACCTTAACCATTTAGCATTTTTAAAATATAAACAGAAGTGTAATAAAAAATTTAGTATCAGCAGAACTTTTAGAAAATAAAAAAAGATCAACACGAGTGTTTATAGTGGTTCGCACTAACTCGCCTACATCCACTCCAAGACTCATCTTGAGATCCTCAACTATGTTATCTCTTTTTCAAGGGTAAGAGACAAACCAACAGATGCAAGGCAATAGATCAACTTTTTAGATCTACCCTTTTGTCCACTAATTTCCAAAGGTTTCTAGTATCCTCAACGCCTTTCTGTTTTTGGCAGAGCTTACAAAAAACTCAGTTCAAGACATTAGAATCTCTTTCACGGAAGAAGCGTATCGCTGATAACCCTATTTCACCAATAGCTTTTTCCATCCCCTAAGCTATTACGCCAAAAGTTTATCAAGAATGCGAAAACCTGCCTACTAAAAATTACAAAATCTAAATAGACAGAGAGAAATGCAAATATAAATGCAAATATAAGCATAGGAAAAATAGTTTTTAAGATTAGAAAATCGTTTTAGAAATCAGAACTATTTTTCAAAAGAAGTTGTTATAAAATTTCTTCTCACTTTTAAAGATAAAACGTAAAGTATTAAGATGAAAAGAAATAAGGGGGTAGAGAGTAAGTTTTGGGAGATAAAAGATATGATCAATGGATGAATACTCTTAAAACGAAAACTCTTTTCGCTTCATCTTTTAAAGATGAAATACCTTTTTATAGAGAGGGATGAGAATCCCGTATTTAGAAAGTGAAATCCCTTTTTCAAATTAGAATATTGACTTTCCATTTGAAGAATACAGAAATCTTTGTTGCCAAATCTTTTGAGTCACTATTCTTTCTTTTAGTAAATGAATAAAGAAAAAATCTAACTTTCCTTTAAAAACCAAAGATTTTGGGAAAATACAAAGAATCTTTTTCTAAAATATTTAACACCAAAAACGATTTGAGATAGAATCTCTTTCGTTTAGGTAAGAAGATAAAATTAAGATTTTGGATCTCTTTAAAAATTTGTTTCCGAAAATGAAGGGCATAAAAATCTTATTCGATTTGTTCTTATTACCAAAATCATTTTAGACAAAGTCTCTCTAATTTAGGTAAGTGAATAAATTTCAAACCTTTATGAAGATAATTTTCGAAAAATTTAAAACAAGCTTTTTCTAAGATATGTATTACCAAAAATGATTGAGACAAGTTCTCCTCCATTTTAGGTAAGATAATGAAGGAACGAAAAAGCTTTTGATTTTTAAGGAGTTATTTTCGAAAAATCCTTTTGATAAAGAGAGAAGAAATTAATTTTGTGCTTATAAATGGATGTTCTCTCTATCTTACAATGAATCCTAAAAAATACCTAAAAAATTAACCACCTAAGGTCTTCCAAATAGTCTTCAAATCCTTGAATTGTTAGACTTGCCTGTTATTATTACCTTCCTTATATAATCTGCATAAAAAATATTATAGCCACAAATAATTATAAAGGTCAAATTGTTTGTTTTGTTTCAATTCATCAAAAATCTCGAAGATAAATATTTGACTTTAGCCAACCAGATTGCGAGAATGCATGTTAGATTCCCTTAAATCTGCAAACTTTGAAACAAGTAAACGATATGATGAATCAAGGAAGGAGAAACTACCCGTTATTCTTAACTCTTAAGATAAACAGTTTGAGAATCATTTTCCGAATTTCCATTATGGTAATCCCCAAACAGTTGCCTTGAAGCGCACCAGGGTTTTCGTGCCTCAACGAGAAAAAGTCTCATGAGATCTCCCCTTATTCCCTCTCGAAAAATCTCCACATGGACTTCATGAAACGTAAATCTCACATGGACTTCATGAACGAAACTCGAGAAAACAACAAAATCCAACAAGTTGCGATAAGGAACTTGGAGATTCAATTAGGACAGTTTGCAAATATGATGGCCTCTCGACCTCAAGGTACGTTACTTAGTAATATTAAAGAAAATCCTAAAGAACAGGTACAAGCTATCACCTTGAAGAGTGGCAAACAATTGGAGGATCCACCCAGAATGGAGAAAGAGAAGGAAGAGCAGAAAAAGATCCCCATCATTCACCTAGAAAAGATAGAGGAAGTAAAGCCCCATGTTCCACTAGTTCCTTTTCCACAAAGGTTGAAGAAAACACAAGATGATAAGAGTTTCCTCAAGTTTCTTGATGTCTTCAAAAAGCTTCAAATCAACATCCCTTTTGCTGAAGCTCTTGCTCAAATGCCAAATCCCAACTATGTAAAGTTCTTAACAAGAAAGACCTAAGTAAGAAAAGGAAGATCAGTAAGAAAAGGAAGATCGATGATCAAGGAATGGTAATGTTGACAGAGGACTGTAGTGCAATTATTCAAAATAAATTGCCTCCAAAATTAAAAGATCCAAGAAGTTTTTCTATCCCTTATAATATTGGAAATCTTGATTTTGAAAAATCTTTAGCAGATTTAGGTGCTAGCATTAATCTTATGTCTTATGAAGCTTTTAAGATGTTAGGGATAGGAGAGCTGAAACCAACAAGGATGTCTCTACAATTGGCAGATCGATCAATCAAATACTTAAGAGGGATTATAGAAGATGTGCTCATTAAGGTAGGTAAATTCATCTTTCCTGTTGATTTTATTATTCTTGACATTCATGAAGATAGAGAAGGATCCTTAATCTTTGGAAGACCCTTTCTTGTAACTGCAAGAGCATTGATTGATGTGTATGAAGGTAAATTAACCTTGAGGGTAGGTCAAGAGGAGAGGTTGTTTTTTATGTTCTTAAAAATTTGTTAACTTTCCCATGGATTATAATGACTATTTAGGATTGATGTGTTGATGAATGAATGTAAAAGGATTGATGTTGTTGATGAATGTGTAAAGAACACTTTGCATATTAAGGATAAAGATGACATTAATAATCAAAGTATCATAGATGAGAAAGAAAGTGAATCACCAAAGCAAGAATTAAAACAAATTCCATCTCATTGAAAACATGCATTCTTAGGTGAGAATAATTCTTTCCCTATTATTATTTCTTCTCACTTAACACTTGATCAAGAGGAAAGGTTATTGCAGGTCCTACGAAAACATAAGAAAGCTCTAGGATGGTCAATTTCAAATTTGCAGGGAATAAGTCCAAGTGTGTGTATGCACAAGATCTTGATGGAGGAAGACTGCAAACCTTCAATTGAGCATAAAAGAAGATTGAACCCAAACATGAACGAGGCAGTCAAAGCTGAGATCATAAAACTTTTGGATACTGGCATTATCTATCCAATTTTCGATAGCAGTTAGGTAAGTCCCGTTTAAGTTGTCCCAAAGAAAGGAGGTATAACAGTTATTTTTAACAAAAACAATGAGTTAATTCCTACAAGAACTTTCACAGGTTGGTATGTGTGTATTGATTATAGAAAATTGAACAAAGCAAAATGCAAAGATCACTTTCCTTTACCTTTTATTGATCAAATGCTTGAGAGACTTGCAAGTCACCCCTACTATTGCTTTTTAGATGGTTATTCAGGGTATTTTCAAATACCTATTGCTCTCAAGGATCAAGAGAAAACCATTTTCACTTGCCCCTATGGTACTTTTGCTTATAGGAGAATGCCTTTTGGGTTGTGCAATGCTCCTGTGACTTTTCAAAGGTGCATGATGTCCATATTTTCTGACATGGTTGAGAAGTTCATTGAAACATTTATGGATGATTTTTCTGTGTTTGGTTCTTCTTTTGATTCTTGTCTTTATAACCTCTCTTTAGTAATAGTAATGCAGCGATGTGAAGATACTAACCTTGTTTTGAATTGGGAAAAATGCCATTTTATGGTTAGTGAAGGTATTGTTTTAAGGCATAAAATCTCACAAAAAGGGATTAAAGTGGACAAAGCCAAGATAGAGGTAATTGAAGAGCTACCACCTTAAAATCAGTAAAAGGAGTAAGAAGCTTTCTTGACCACGCAGGACTCTATAGGAGATTTATCAAGGATTTCTCTAAAATCACAAAACCTCTTTGTAATTTATTATTTAAGGATGTTCCTTTTGATTTTGACAAAGAGTGTTTGAATGCTTTTAACAGGTTGAAGAAAGAATTGCCTTTAGCGCCTATTATTGCTACACTAGATTGGAATCTTCCTTTTGAACTTATGTGTGATGCTAGTGATCATGCTATAGGAGCTGTTCTTGGGCAAAGAAAGGAAAAGAAATTGCATGTTATTTATTATGCTAGTCAGTCGCAACATTGAATGATTGCACAATTAATTATTGCCAACCACTGGAAAAAGAACTTCTAGTTATTGTTTTTGGCTTTTTGATAAATTTAGAGCAATATTTGATTGGAGCTAAGACATAGTTAACACTTGATCACTCAGCTATTAATTATTGTTAGAAAAGAAAGATGCCAAGGCCTAGATTAATCGTGGGTTCTTCTTTACAGGAGTTTGATTTAAGATTCATCACTTAAAAAGCGGAACCCAAGAAACCTTGTAGCTGAATTGGATCACTTATCCAAGCTTGGTTGGGGGAAGAAGAGCAAAGCAGAGTTGCAAATAATGAAGACTTCCCCCATGAACATCTTCTTCATCTAGCAAATGCACAAGCTCCAATGGTATTGCCTACTAGTTAACTAACCTTGCTGTAAATTTTACTCCTCCCAATCTTCTATCAACAAAAGCGAAAAAAATTCTCTTCATGATCTTAATATTACTATTGGGAGGAGCCTTTTCTTGTTCAAGTATTATAGTGACTAGCTCTTTCGACGATGATTTTTTCGACGATGTATACCGGAAGAGGAAATGGAAAGTGTCCTTTGATTCTATCATTCAATGGAATGTGGAGGACATTTTGGAGCAAGCAAGACGACAGCATGTATTTTGGAAAACGGTTTGTGTTGGCCTAACTTATTTAAAGATGCTTTTAACTTTGTTCATCTTTGTGATCGTTATCAAAGGTTAGGTAATATCTCCAAGAGACATGAGATGCCATCAAACAATATCCTTGAAGTAGAGATTTTTGATGTTTCGGGCTTGTATTTCATGGGCCATTCCCATCCTCTTATTCCAACCAATACATTCTAGTAGCGGTGGATTATGTCTCAAAATGGGAGGAAGCGGTTGCCCTTCCTAGCAAGATGCCAAGAGTGTGATGAACTTCATCAAGAAATTGAACTTCATCAAGAAATATATTTTCACACGTCATGGTACTCCGAGAGCAATAATCACAGACGGAGGTAAGCACTTTTGCAACAAGTACTTAGATCCCTTCTTTTAAAATATCATGTTACTCATCGTGTAGGTAACCCAAATCACCCTCAAACAAGTGGACAAGTGGAGGTCACTAATAAGGAAATCAAGAAGATATTAGAGACCACAGTTGGCCAATCAAGGAAGGACTGGTCCAAGAAGCTCGATGATGCTCTTTGGGCCTATAGAACTGCATTTAAAACACCAATTGTTATGTCTCCATATCTAATGGTCTAGGGTAAGGCTTGTCACCTCCCTGTTGAGTTAGAGCACAAGGCATATTGGGCAATCCAAGGCTTGTCACCTCCCTGTTGAGTTAGAGCACAAGGCATATTGGGCAATCCAGTTTCTTAACTTTAATGCTAAGGAGGTTGGTCAAAAGAGGTTGATTCAATTGAACATGATGGATGAAATAAGACTCCATGCTTATGAGAATGCTAAAATCTATAAAGATCGCACCAAACTGTGGCATGATAAGCATATTATTCTAAGGGGTCTAAGGGTAGGCCAACAGGTATTACTCTATAACTCTAGACTCCATCTTTTTCCAGGTAAATTGCACTCTAGGTGGTCCGGACCATTCACAATTAAGGAAAATTTTCCACATGGAGCATTTGAAATAGTGGATGGAAACTGGAGTTTCAAGGTTAATTCTAAACGGTTAAAAGTTCACCAAAGTGGATACTTCGATCCAGTCAAAACTGTTATAAGCCTTGCTTAATTTTGCCTAATGGGGTCTAGTGCGTTGAGCTTAACGACGTTAAACAAAAGCGCTTATGGGAGACAAGCCATATTCTTTTCATTAACTCTTGTATTTTTTATTTCTTTTTATTTCTTTTTATCATTTTTCCCAAAATTTTTAAATCATACCTGTTCTTCTGTGTTAATAACAAGTACAAGTTGAGGTGACAAGGTTTAGCACGCCTTGACCGTGCTAATCAGCACCCCCGTGCTTCAAAGTGTAGATCGGTCTTACAGGTCAGACCCTAGCACGCCTAAGCCGTGCTATCTGGCACGCCTATGCCAGGTAAGACAAATTTTGCTCTTGCAAGTCAGAGGTTAGCATGCCTAAGCTGTGCCAAAGAGCACGCCCGTGCTTCCTAGAGATGTCACTTTCAACCTGTGCTTGCCATAGCACGCCTGTGTCAGTCAGCGCCTTAAAGACTTAGGCGTCAGCACGCCCTGACCGTGCTACATAACACGCCCGTGCCACGTTTCAGATCTGCGCCTTTAAACATTGCCTTTTCGGTTATCGCGCAACCTCCCTATTTAAAGTGCACACCCTAGCCGTTTCTCTTCAAAGCATGCCCAAAACCTCTCTTCTTCTTCTTCTTCTTCATCTCTCTCTTTTCTCTTAACCAAAAACCCATTTTCTTCCCTTTTCTTCCTCTTTCACCATACCTCCAAGATATAAACGAAGCCGATCTGCCGCTTCAGTGGCTGTAAGAATACGACCAACCATTCCTCTTACAGCTCCCGCTCCTCCTCCTTCGGCAACTACTCCTCCTTCGTTTGAGTTCGGCTTACCGAAACAACAGGAAAGGTACAGTAAACTATCTCTTCACCCTATTTTACCCAATTGTTTTATTAATGAATCTGCTTTAGCGCAAGTAGGGCTTACAGATGCAGTGTTAGAGCCTCTTAAACGTATTGGGTGGGAATAGTTTATTGCCATGAAAGACCTTGTTTATGGTCCTATGACCTTAGAATTTTTAAGTTCATATTCTGCTTTTATTCGTCTTTTGCCTATTGATTTCCCTAGCAAAATTAAATTTAGGCTTTTTGGGAGAAATTATGAACTTTTCGTGAATGAAGTTAGTCATATCTTTGGGTTCCCTACTGAAAATGCACTTAACCAAATACCTAAGGATTTTATAGATCGAACCACATGGACAATACTGACAGGAGAGGATAACTATATTCCTAGGTTGTCAAAAGCGTCGAAATTGAGAAACCCAACCTTTAGTTATATTCATAAATTTTTAGCCAACACTATTTTTGGGCGAAGCAAGAGTGATGGAGTGTTGAGTCTAAATGAATTATACTTTAT